CCCCCCGCCCTAAATCAATATTTTTTTAAGCTAGCTGGACTTCTATTTCGAAACTGTAGATGTTTCTCTTCCCATCAGGGAAGCTTTGTCAGTTAAAAATATTTGGATTAGTGGTTTGTTCAAAGCTTTAGAGCTTCATGAAGGTCTATAGCTTAGAACACAGAATAGAAATCTGCTACAGTATGTGTATATACATATTTTTTGATCAATCATTATCTGGATGACTGAGATTCTTGATCAGCATCATAAATAAAACATTTGGTAGCTCGGTGGCTTAGTTGGTAGAGGAATTGTTTCTCAGTTGCTGGATCAAATCCCAGCCTGGGACCTTTTCGGGTGGTGTTTACATGTTTCCCCTCTGCTTGAATGGGTTTGTTCCCAGTATTCCAGTTTCCTCTCGTTGACCAAAAACCTGCAACGTAGCTTCACAGGTACACACTGTGCATCTCAAATAAATTCTTTGTAGATGTAATTATTTTGAACAAAATCATGTTCAAGTCTGAGTATTTTTCAACAGCCTTTGAAAGTGGGCCAGTCTGTCAAGAACTCCTGGGTCACCTTTCCTCCCCAGTCCGCCCCTGGTTGCCTCAGAATGATAGTGAAGTGAAAACTTTAGTGAAAGAGTGTCAAACGTGTTTCAGTCATTTCATACTGAGGTAGGAAGCTTCCTGTAGTCTGGGACAGGTGGTTTCTCTTTAGCAGAGCTGAACTATTGGAATGACATCTTGTTAACTGTTTTGCAAAATGATGGAGAAAAGGTGTCAGTCCAATGAGAAATGGTCAACACTTTTACAAGAGGAGACTTTTTCTCTGCTCAGATGAAAAACTGAACGGATCCCAGTTTCTTTAATGAGTCAAAGCAACCAAGAAAATCTGACCTGACAGACTTTCACAGACAAAAACTAAATAAAATTCACACAACTTTACACCATGTAAAAAACCGCACCATGTGCGGGTGTTTCTGAGAAACTGAGACGTTTATTTTCTAAACATGATGTCCCAGTGGCTTTCAAACCCCAAAACACATTACGGCAAAGGCTGGTTCACCCCAAAGATCCGGTGCCCCGGCACAAACAGAGCAATGTTGTATATGCTGTTAAGTGCCAGGAGGACTGCGACCAGTTATACATCGGGGAAACAAAGCAGCCACTGTTCAAAAGAATGTCCCAACACAGACGAGCTACATCTAATGGCCAGAACTCTGCAGTTTTCACTCATTTACAGGCCAGCGGTCACTCTTTCAGAGATGAGGATGTTCTCATTCTTGATAGAGAGGAACGTTGGTTTGAGAGAGGAGTAAAAGAAGACATTTTTGTGAAGAAAGACCGTCCATCATTAAACAGAGGTGGGGGCCTCCGTTTTCAGTTGTCCCCCTCCTACAGCGCTGCTATTGCCAGTATCACTCCACCCCCTGTTAACAATAGGTGTTAATTAGGTGTCAACGATAGCCATGTGATGTGAGTATCAGTCACATGGAGGCAGGGCTTAAAAGCCTGAATTTTGCCTGAAACTCTCAGACTGAAGAAGTCTCTGGAGGAGAGACGAAACGTTTCATTAGAGAAGAACCCGTCCAGAAGACCTATATAATTTTTTTCTTTTTGAGTTTTTACCTGGATTACTGAGATGCATCAGGACTTTACACCATGTGGCTCCATCTTGTGGAAGAAAATTATAATTACTATTACAGTTTTTCTCACTTGCTTTGGTGCATTTCTCTGAAGAAAATAAAACTCTCCTGGCTGTTAGTTCCATAACATTTAGTCGTTTTTGCACATCATAGCAGTGACTTTTTCCTTGCAACAAATTGCAAATGTTTGTGAACATGCATCAGTTGCTTTCATAAATTTATACTGTTTTGTAATATTATCGTTTGCTAATGCCATGTCAGTCAAATTATAATTAATTAAAATACTTTAGAATGCTGAATAGTCATTCTCAATAATTTTTCTTCGTCACTGACACATTTTCTCCACACTTTTGCAAAACAGTGAAGACACTTGGATGCTAGTTGAATTGTTTGAAGGCAATATCTGTTTTTCTTTCATATTTTAAGTGTTTTAGCTCAGTTTGAGACTTTTGCAAACAAAATGTGTCACATGACCATCTGTGTGTTCACTGTTTTTTTTTATTTGGAGTTCGAGTTGACTGCTGCATCAAAACTACCAAGAAAAACCGCATTAATCCTCACTTCATTGCTTGAAAAATGTTGAACTAGTTGTCCAAATCTGTCAAACAATTTTATGCATTACTTTGGTCTTTTACTTAAAATGTCTCCCTAACTGAACATTTTCTCTCAGGTGAACATCAGATGTCAGTGATGAGGAGGAGTGTGTGATGCATTCATTGTTACCATTGATAAGTCACTTCTCCAGGGGGACCCTCAGTTGGCTCTATCATGTATGAACTGAACAGGACATAATGTGTAAGAATGATTTACAGTCCTGTATGTTTCAATGTGTACTTAAATACTGTTTACAGTGGTGCACAGTTCTACCCAAAGTGTGTTTCTTAAGGTTGTTGTAAATAAGCTTGTACTTGGATTTTGCACAATGCAATACTAATTGTTTTGAGAAATGCACTAACTGTTGTGTAAATGTTGTAGTAATAGAGACGTCAGAAATGATCCAAACCATGTCACAGCATGATCATTTCCACTCAAAGCTGAAAAACTTTCAGTCATATTTAGTTCGATGTTTATCCAGGTGCTAAAATCCTAGGAAAAATACAAAAACTTAAGAGGATTGTATACTTCGTAAGTAAATGCTGATATGGTTTTCTTATGTCCTGTCACTCAACAGTTATAAATAGATAAACACTGAAATTCATACTTTTTTTAATCGAGAATTTTTTATGAATGTTTTTAATTACAAAGTCACAAGTAGCAAATATTTCTGTTTGACTCTGTCATTCTGTCAACACCACAAGTGTTTTTAGACAGACGGGTGGATAGATAGATAGATAGATAGATAGATAGATAGATAGATAGATAGATAGATAGATAGATAGATAGATAGA